TCTGGTCACCCTATCTCCCCCTACATACACCTGCCCCCTACATCCCTCCGTTCACATACATATACCTCTCCCCCTCACACATCCCCAACCCTACACTTTCCCCCCTCCCCTACATCCCTCCCTTCACATACACATATATATACACACACCTCTCCCTCTCACACATACTCCACCTCTCATTTTACAGAATGGGACACTGACTGGGTTAAATGACTTGCCCAAGTCCACACAGGAGGTGAGTGGCAGAGCCAGGAAGAGCATCCAGGAACCCTGATGCCCAGGCATGCCTTCTCACCACAAGACAACGCTATTTAAATAAAGCACCCAATCTATGCCCACTTCATTTCGTCCTGTGATGATCCCTGTCTCTGCAGAGCTTCTCCCACAGGGTATCAGCCCAAAGGTGGATTAAGGCAGGGTATTTGAATCCTGGGGCTCCAGACCCAGTGTTCTGAGGGGAACCAGATGTAGACAAGACCTTCCCCAAACTAGTTCCTGGAGAGAAAATTGTGGGGAAGTCACTAGGAAGAAGAGCCTATCATATGGAGGGCTGAGGGAAAGTTCAAAGAGGTGGGGAGCTGAGAGAAGGGCCTGTTGAGTGGCCCAGTTTTGTTTTGTTTTGGGTTTTTCTTGGGGCAGGAGGGTGTGAAAGTTTGGCGGATGTGAACCCTGTTCAGTTTTAAGCCTGTGCTGTTCAAGCTCAGTATCTGAGTTCATTTCTATCTCTAATACTGACATTTCTCTCTCAGGTGGCTGCTGCTGCCTATTTTAGGGTGGGGCTGAGGGCTGGTGTGACTCATGTTTTCAGGCTCTTATCGGCATCAGGATAATGTTCTGCCTTTCTTTTCTGTCATGTGGCATCCTGCCTCCCTCCCCTCCTTCCCTCCCTCCGCCATCTCCCAGAGGAGGCGACAGACGGTCCTGTAATTTGGTTCCATTCGCTCGACTGGAGCAACACCTGCCCCCCTCCCAGGAGACGGGAGGGTCTCATCCCAAACCATACAAGAAGCCAAAGACAAATCTGAGGCCCACATGCAAATAAAACAGGATAAAACAGCATGGCCATTTTGGACAGAAAGGAGAAATCCAGCACCGGGAAAGAGGCAGGGGAAACAAAATCACCTCGGTAGGAAGAAACAAAAACTGCAGGAGAGTGCCTTTTTCTTTTGGGGTGATTATGATTGTGGTTATTGAACTTTCCTCCCTTAAGGAATAAAACAAGAGCATTGAAAAATAATGGCTGATATTAGATTATATCTATCCACACTAAAAGGGCTAGGTTACTTGGGTTACAGGATAGATAGATAGATAGATAGATAGATAGATTAGATAGATTCCAAGGCCAGAAGGGACCATTGCGATCATCTAGTCTGATACACTGTATGACACAGGCCATAGAACTCCCCCCAAATAATTCCCAGAGCAGATCATTTAGAAAAAGATCCAATCTTGATTTAAAAATGGTCAGTGATGAAGAATCCAACAGGATCCTTGATAAATTGACCCATGGTTAATTACTCTCTCTGTTAAAAATGTATGCCTTATTTCAAATACGACATAGATAGATAAATAGATAGACTTAGACATTTCTTCATAACAATACACTGAAAAAGTGTCATTTCTTTGTTGAAGATCACACACAAAAAATAGAAAATCATTTCCTTCCTCCTTTTGTAGGAATAATGCAAGATATCAAATCACTTCAAACGCCTTCACTATTTCCCCCATTCTGAGCACTGGCTACATAACATTATCCAACCTGAAGGCGCTATTTCTTGGTCAATAACTAAGCTATTTATGAATAAACATAGCATGTACCATGCTTAAAGGTTAGAGGTATGTTTCATGTCTGGAAATAGTTTACCTCATGTATGCCTGTCTGTTAGCAGCATAACTCATGTCTGCATGTTTTGTAGAATGCTCTATGCTTCTGACCCTGCAATCTCTTATGCACATGAGCATTATACACTGCACAGTGCATATGTAAGGAGCCCTTACTTATGCAAATTGGCCCTTTGAAGTCAGTAAGCTTACCTGTGTAAGTGACACTTGTGGATAAAGTGGTACAGATTTGTGCCCTATATCTTTATGTTAGTCCATTGTCTGTGTGCAGTAGTTTGAGCTCTGTCATTATGTTAGTAGCAGGATCCGTTTCTGTGTTTCAGTAGAATGCCTTGTGTTTGGTGTTTGTTGCATGCTTCATGTCTGATGTTATTCATATGCACTTGTCAATATATTAGCACAGCATTCTTTGTCATATATTGGAAGTACTATGCCCCCGTTGCTATATGTTAGTGATATGGCTTATCTCTTTATATTAATGGCATGCTGGATATCCGTTAGTGGAATGTCCCAGGTCTGTACATTGGAGGCATTTCCCATGTATGTATGTTAGTGGTATTTTCCAGGTCTCTGTCTTATACTTTATATCAGTATTAATTAGAGAAGGACCTGAGCCATGTTGTTCCGGGCCAGATTTAGGTCTAGATTCAGAACTAAACTTTCCCGAGTTTTGAGCATGTTCATACCCATGGTTGCAGCATGGGATCACGTCTAACATTAAATGCAAAAAAACACATTAGTGCAACATTAAGGTTACAGGTTTAAACATTAAAAAGTCAGCAATATTCATTTTAAGTTTGCACTCTGCCTGCTGGTGGGCTTGCACAAAATGATATAGTCCTTAACATGTGACCACATCCTGTAAGTCAAATAATAATACATTTTGCTACTAACTTAGGTACAGTGTATCACCTATGAGCTGAGGATGGTATCTGTCTCATAATGCATAAGCACAAGGGGGTAGAGTTAAGGTTGTTTATTTGATCTTCATTTTGGCATTTCCTGGCTTTTGCATGTTTAACCACGCAGATTTCACATTGCACTAACTTTGTTTCTTGTGTTTATTTCCTCAATGATGATGATTTTGATTTTTAAGAAAAAGAAAGAAGTGGGGAGCAAAAGACTTAGTTGTTTATAATTAACTGGCATCAGCTATCAACTGACAACTGGAATTATCTCACTACGCAAGAGGATAAATGGACATAAGTCAGATATCAGGAATGGCAATATACAAAAACCTGTAGGAGAACACTTCAGCCTCCCTGGCCACACAATAGCAGATGTAAAGGTAGCCATCTTACAGCAAAAAAACTTCAGGACCAGTCTCCAAAGAGAAACTGCTGAGCTCCAGTTCATTTGTAAATTTGACACCATCTGATCAGGATTAAACAAAGACTGTGAATGGCTATCCAACTACAGAAACAGTTTCTCCTCCCTTGGTGTTCACACCTCAACTGCTAGCAGAGCACCTCACCCTCCCTGATTGAT